TTTTTTGAGATGGAGTCTTGCTTTATCACCCAGGCTGAAGTGCAATGGCTCTCGGCTCACTGCAACCCCTGCCTCCTAGGTTCATGCAATTATCCTACCTCAGCCTCCCAAGGAGCTGGGATTACAGGTGCACACCATCATACCCAGCTAATGTTTTGTATTTTTAGTAGAGACGGGTTTCACTATGTTGGCCAGACTGGTCTTGAACTCCTAACCTCATGATCTGCCTGCCTTGGCCTCCCAAAGTACTGGGATTACAGGCGCAAGCCACCACGCCTGGCTGGTACTGGCAATTCTTTAATTCTCACCTGACCTCCAAGACTGAGTTAGGTTTTCTGTTATGTACTCCCATGGCAACAGTATTTTCCACTTACCTTACACAACAGTCCTCCGGGGGCAGTTTGCCAGGGGCCTCTGTTGCCAATATTTGTTCCTCTTTCTCTTTCATTTTCACTTTCCTTCCTACATTTGCAATTTAGAGTTCAGGATGTAAAGCAGTATGTGGCCATAAATGATGGGACATCCCTAACAAAATGCTAGGAGGCCACTACCTGGAAACCTTTGTCCTTAGCATAGTACCCTTACCCCTGAGGTGCTAGGGATGGGCCCTGGGTCTTTCCCTGCTTTCTACTTTCCTAATGGCTTAGTGATGTCAAAGGAGGACATCTTGATGTGTAGAGGTGCAGTAATTCAGGGATGTAAGGATACCTTCCTGCAAGATAAGATCATCCTGTCTAAACCAGTTGTTTTCAGGTTTTTTACTAGAAGCCACATGCATGAGTGTGTGTGTGTGTGTGTGTGTGTGTGTGTGTGTATAAAAACATGAACAGATGTATGCATATGTATAACCCAAAACACACAAATGTACATATATTGACATACTTATATAAACACATATTAATATAACCAAAATAAAAATTTCATGAAACATTAATCTTAACCACATGCTATATACACTCATATTTTTCTTTCATTTGCAAAGGAATGCTATATAACTCTCTAAACCTCTGGTTTGAGAAAACAAAGCAAAAACCTGTTTCAAAGCACTTGTTAACTAACATTTTGACAGGAGTCCCCAGAAGTGCACCCTGTGTGTAGCATAGTATATGGCATATGGTATGCATATACTATTTGTTAAATGAATGCATTCATTAGCAAATGATTATGCATAGTTCAAACATAAATTTTATTCTTGAAGACCTAAAACATGGGAGTTTTTACCGTTTATTAAAGGAAGATCTCAATGTTCCAGTGATCAGATAGATGGGTAGAAAGGCTGATATTCCTCCAATTTAACGAACTACTTTACATTCTTACCCCAAGGAAGGCCCCACCTCCTCTTACTTGTTTCACAGTTATATTTCTTCCCTAGTGAACTTCCTATATACCTACTTGTAACAGTGGGAAAAGGCTCAGTAATTTCATAGTGTTTTGTTGGGAAGATATATGCATGCTGGCTCATTTGCAAACAAGTAAATGCTTGAGATCTCAATAAGACATTTTCCTTGGATCAGGCTTTGTTAGATCAAGGGTTCATAATGTTTAAATAAATCTGTAAAATTACACTGTGTGTGAGTTATGGAGAATTTAATTTCCTTTCTTTCTTTATTTTTTTTTTAATTCCCTTTATGCTTATTTTTTTTCTAGGCTCGAGAATTACAAGCTCGGGTACTAAAACGTGTTCAGATGGAACAGCCAGATGCAGTTCCTGCACAGAAACGTTTAGCAGCTGAAATTTGTGCAGAGATTGCAAAACATTCTGTTGCTCAGCGAGACTATGAAAAAGCAATTAAGTTTTATAGAGAGGCCCTGGTTCATTGTGAAACAGATAATAAGGTCAGTACCTTTATAAAATTTTACGTACCTTTTATTCCAGATGTCCTCTGATTTCCTCAGGTGTAAAATTTACCAGTTTATTTAATAAGAAGTTTTAGACTGAGTACAGTGGCTCATGCCTGTAATCCCAGCACTTTGGGAGGCTGAGGCGGGTGGATCTCAAGGAGTTTGAGACCAGCCTGACCAACATGGTGAAGCCTCATCTTTACTAAAAATACAAAAATTAGCCGGGCATGGTGGTGGGTGCCTGTAATCCCACTACTCAGGAGGCTGAGGCAGGAGAATCACTTGAACCCGGGAGGTGGAGGTTGCAGTGAGCTGAGATTGTGCCGCTGCACTTAGTCTGGGCAACAGAACGAGACTCCATCTCAAAAAATAAAATTAAAAAGAAGATTTTAAAAGAAATGTAACAAAAATACAAGTTAAAAGATTATTATTCCTCTAAAACTTTCAAAATCTTACATGATGCTTACTTTAAGAATATTAGAGTTTAAGGCCAGATGCAGAGGCTCATGCCTGTAATCCCAGCACTTTGAGAGGACAAGGCAAGCACATCACTTGAGTCCAGAAGTTCAAGACCAGCTGAGGCAGCATGGCAAAACTCCACTCTACTAAAAAATACAAAAGATAACCAGGCATGGTGCCGTGCACCTGTAGTTCCAGCTCCTCACAGGGCTGAGACGGGAGGATCACCTGAGCCCAGAAGGTCAAGGCTTCAGTGAAACATGATGGTGCCGCTATACTACAGCCTGGGTAACAAAGCAAGACCCTGTCTCAAAACTAAAAAAGAAAAGAAAAAAAGAACATTAGAGTTTAAAAATGGTAATGGAACAAGCAACATAAGCAACCTGAAAAATTGTTTTAATATTTATGTTTTTGATTATCAAAATAATTTAAATAATTTTCAAATTAATTTATCAAAAATAAATAATTGTAAAATAAAATAACTTCTCAATCACAAATATCTGCATTTAGCCAATTCAGCTCCTCTGTATTTCAATTGGTGTTTAGTATTAGGATGCGAAAATGGCTAGACTGAATCTACGACCTCATATGGCACCGTGGGAGAATAAACGTAAAGATAATTTGGTGTAGTGCCCTTACATACCTGACTGGCTATGTTAAAATTAAAATGTTTTTATTCTGTCAAGATCTGAGAAGATCTGGAGACATGATTAATTTTTGAAAATAATTAATGGCTGAACACTTAAGTAAGTGATGCTATATAAAAGGCAACTATACTCCAGAATTTAATGACTAGTTTGAACGTTTTTATTAATATAATTTTTTCAGATAAAGGGCACAAACAACCTTTAGCAAGGCATAACCAAACAGATACCTTTTTCAATGGTTGCTAAAGGAGTTGGAATCCTACTTTTAAATCTGAGGCATACCTTTAGAGATTATCTGCATAAAGCTTTTTATTTTACAAATGAGAAGGCAGATTAGGAGAGAGAGAAAGGACCTGACTTGGCTCCATCCTGGAGGAGCTGGGACTAGAATCCCATCTCCTAGTTTTAAGACCAGTGTTCTTTTCACAATGCATTATGTCTTCTCTACTTTTGAAGTGAGTTGTTACCTGTTTTTCTGTTTTGTTTTTTTCTAGTGTAAGAGAAAATACAGATGGGCTTACCTATAGTGTGTGTGTGTGTGTGTGTGTGTGTGTGTGTGTGTATTACACTTGACATTTTTATTGCAGTGACTTGTGGTCAACTAAAGTTTAATCTGTATCTGCATATTTTCCTCATTCACTTTTAATTCTATACAGTGTCTGACAAGTCTAGTCCTTTGCTCTACAGATTATGCTGGAACTGGCACGATTATACCTGGCACAAGATGACCCTGATGCCTGCCTGCGGCAGTGTGCTGTGCTGCTTCAGAGTGACCAGGATAATGAAGCTGCCACCACGGTCAGTCCAAGGAACTTCAGTTCAGTCAAAGCAGTTGCATTTTATAAATTTTAAATTTTACCCCACAGAACTACTACTAGAGGATGAGGCATGGCTCATGTTGGGTTTTGGAAGAAATCATATTTTTCTAACGTTAGTGTATTTTACCAATAAAGACCCAGAATCATTAGGATTTTATTTATAAGAAAGACAACAAACCTATATCGGGCTTTTACATGCCCTTTTGGGTCTAGTTAATTTTTATTTATGCCTAAGGGGATGCTTGGTTAGGTGGAGTTCACATGGTAACACTATAATTTGCTAAGAACTAACTTTTAAGTACTTACTTAGGAATGCTGGACGAATTTAAGAGTTTGGGTGAAATTTTTGGAGTTACAGGGGAAAAAAAAAACTTCATCCATCAGTCTAAGATGGTCTGTTTTGATGAGAATTTTGTTTTGTTTTTGTTTTTATGTGGACTGAAATATTTGTCACTTTTGCACACAGCTACATGGATGACATTTTGTGAGGTTTATTCAAAGTTATTGCTGTTAAAAAGATATATATGAAGTCTGCGTTTTAAAACACATAGGAAAAATCTCAGTAGGTCTGCTCATTTTTAATTTATCAAAATATTTATGATTTAAATTTTGTTTTATTTTTGAGTCTTCTCATTATCATTTTAATCAGGTCCAGTGAGGTATCTTTTCTACAATAGCATGCAGAGTGTGCAATTCCTTTCAAATTTCTGTTATTAAAACAACTGCTAGGAGTATATTTTTTGCTAAAAATATAATTCAGCAAGCAGAGCAATCTGCTTCACATCCTTGATTATCTTCTGTTAAACTGATCTCCAAGCCTTTCTGCTCAAGGTGGGCTTGAACCTTAATGCCTTCTTTTTAAACAATGCTACCCCCTCCTCATGTTTATCGTCTATATTTTTCTAGTGCTAAGTCTTTATTGAAAGAATATGTTGTGTAAAATACAAGGCAGTATTTTTAGAACCAACTTTTGTCTTTATAGATGATGGCTGATCTCATGTTCAGAAAACAAGACTACGAACAAGCAGTGTTCCATTTACAGCAGCTTTTAGAGCGTAAGCCAGGTAAATATCCTCTGATTTTATTTCTTCAGCGCAGCCACCTTCCTTTCTCCTTTTTCTTCCGTTTGGTGAAAAACTGCCTGCTTATTCCACACGTGGGCTTGAGTAGCTGAAATGGCTGTGAGGAAAATACAACACTGTTTTCTGGCCTCATTTTAAATTATGAGCACAAACCTGGCAATCCTACTGTATTCCAATAATGAATTCATTGATTCTAACTACTTTTCCCCCTTTTTCCTGTCCCCTCAAACTTCCAACAGCCTTGCCCTGTTTCTTGTCCACAATTAAAAGCCTTGCCGCCTACTTCACTAAGAGAATACTTGTACCTGAAAAAGAATTTCTCCCTTCTTTGTCAGCAGATTTACCCATTCCTCAGTCTTTGTCCTCCCCAGGCTTATGATCCCACCCATGGCCAGCTTCTCACCTACCAAAGGGCTTGATTCCTATAGTTTTCTCTCTTGAATTATTTTTTTTTCTAATCAGCATATAACTGTGCTGTGACATTTTCCTGCTCTAAATAAATCAGTCAGTAAAAATCAACTCTTAACTCTCGCCCCCTCCCAATTACTGTGCCCTTCTTCGGTTCTTCTCGACAACAAATTTTCTCTAAAGGATTTTGAAACATGCTGTCTTCATTTTGTTTCAACCACTACTGCACTCCAGGGAAGTCGCTTCTGCAGTGTGACCCTGATATTGCCAGATCAGATTCTGTTCTCAGTTCTCTGCGGACTTCACCTGTCATCATGTTTGGCACAGTTCATCCTCATCCACGGTCAAAGACTTTCTTCATTTGTCTCTGAGATCCTAAACTCACTCGGTTCGTCTTTTGCCCCATTGCCCACTGTCTCAGTCTACTTTGTTGGAGCTCTCTTCACTTGATGACCTTTAAATATCAGAACACTCCCAGCCTCAGTTCCCAAACCTCTTTTCTTTTTATATATTCACACCGTAGGTGACTTTGTCCAGGCACATGGCTTTATATCCCATGTATGTGCTGATATGTCCTAAACATTTATCTGCAGGCTTTACTCATGTACACCTCTGCCTCTTTGTATTCCCACTCAGATGTCTAGGAGTATCTCAAACTTATAATGTCCAAAATAGAACACCTGATCTTTTCCTCCTTCTAAGTTTGCTCCACCCCCACCTCTTACCTGACTGGCATCACTGCCCACTGTTATGCCAGGCCAGAACTCACAGTTAACCTTTGTCTCACCTTTCTCTCATATATCACCTCTAGCCTATCAGCAAACCTTTGCTAGTGCTACATTCAAACTATACCTAGAATGCCATCACTTTTTACCACCACTGTTACTGCCACCCTGGTCTGAGCCATTGCCATTTTCCACGTTGATTATTACAGCATTGTCATAACTCATCTCTGTTTCCATCCCTAGCCTCCAAAGAGTTTAGAATGCTTTCATTGAAAGTGGCAGAGATATCCCTGAAAATTTTAGGCTAAAAAAGCGTGGCTTTTTATTTTCTCTTCTGTAAAAGAAACCTAAAAGTACGCCGTGTAGGGACTGGCATGGGGGTTGCACCATATCATCAAGAAACCAGAGCCTTCTCAATTTTTGTTCCACATCATTACCCTGACTTGCTTGAGCATTACCTCATGGTCCAAGATGACCATTGCAGTGCTGGGCATTATTGTTCCAGGGCCCAGATGGGGAAGGTGGGTGCAGAGCTGGGCTAAAGGGCTTGCCAACCAGCAAATCATCTTTTTATTAAAAAAAAAAAAAAAACCCTCAGTAGTATCACCTTTATGACTGCAAAAGAAGGTGAAAAATGTTATCTTTTAGCCAAATCTAATGCCCTGTAGAATAGTATCAGAATTCTACTAGTAAAGAAGAAAGGGACAATAGAAACAAGGTAGGCATGGATTTAAAAAAAAAAAAAAACCCTCAGTAGTATCACCTTTATGACTGCAAAAGAAGGTGAAAAATGTTATCTTTTAGCCAAATCTAATGCCCTGTAGAATAGTATCAGAATTCTACTAGTAAAGAAGAAAGGGACAATAGAAACAAGGTAGGCAACCATCCAAGCCAATTACAGCCTTGAGCCTTTTTTGCTGTTTCCACTTCCTGAAATATGCTCCTCCCAAAGGTCCATCTGGCTGCTGCCTCATTTTCTTTGGGATCCTTGCTCGAGTGCTACTTCTTCCTTAGAGCGCCCCTCCCCCGCTGGCCTACATGGAGTAGCCACTTCTTGCTCTCTGTCCTTTTATCCGGTTTTCTGTGTAGTTGGGTTTTTGGGGTTTGGCTTTTTTTTTTTAAATGATTTTTGGGGTTTGTGTAGCCCTTGTGAAACAAAACAAAAAAACTGCAAATCATAGAACAGAAGCTTCAAGTGACCAGAAACGTTGCCCTTCACTGCTGTGTTTCCAGAATTTAGAAGATATCTAGCTTAGTTGGTACTCAACAAATATTGGATGGAAAGAAGAGTGAGGGAGAAAAGGAAGAAAGGGAAGCAGGGAGGGAGGAGAGGAAGAGGAAAAGAAAGAGGTGGGAAGTGTTTGACTAACAGGTGGTGTATATTACTACCTGTGTTAACTAAAAAGAGTTTGACTGGCAGGGGAAGTCCTAGAGCTGTGTTTCAGTTCTTCTAAACCCCACTGTCTTCCTCTCAGGCTGTTGCCCTAGGCGGTCAGAGCTGCCTGGTTAGAGCCGCAGAGACACAGAGGTGGCCGTCCTTCAAGCAGGGCAACTCAAAGAACTAGATATGCTCTACATGCTACCTCTACTGATGCTTTCAATAAAAAGAAGTTTGAATTTAGAAAACATCAGTTGGTACATACAAATAAAATATCCCGAGTTAGTGCAAAAATTGAAAAGAAAAAATATGGTCTGTTTTATAGTAATGTCAAAACTTTAATTTCTCTTTATTGTTTTTACTATTTTTTTTTCCGCCTTGGGACTACCTCAGGCCATTTCATTGGTTTTTTTGCCCTGTCTTTTCCAGAGTATACTCAGATGTTATTTAAAAGAATGCTGTGAAAAAACTTGAGTCTTACCTCTTCAACTCACCCTGGGTCCAAAATACCGGCTCACCTTGCCACCCACATTGCCCAGACCTATTTTTATTTTCTTCAGGCTTGTGTCGTTTTTTTTCCTCTTCCATTTCTACCTGTTCCACACTGTTATCTCTTATTCCTCTTCTCTAAACTACCCATTTAAAAGTAATATACATAATACTTTCATTCTGTCCCAAGCTGTTCCCATTTCATAGTCTTTCCCTTTGAGACAATGATCTAACTGTATTTCTTTAAAAAACAGACTTCTTCCATTGTGAATATTAAAGATATCGTTTTCTAAGATTTGAAGGATCTCACCCATTATAGTTTTCTAAGATTTGAAGAAGGCTTCATGTGTCTTGTGGGTTTTGTTTCACCTAAGTTTCTGTTACTTGGCAGCAGCCCTTTTCCCAAAAAAATTGGCTTAGTAGACTGGCTGCTTTGGACTGTTTGTAAACAAATATAAAAGCAATTATTTATAAATACAATATAAGGATCATGTATTCCAGCAACACCAAATGACATACAGCCACATGTCCAAGTATTTGCTTAGGGTTTTTCCTTTGACCTAAAATGAACTTTAGCTGCCTTATCTCGTCCCCCTTTTCTCTTTCCAAACACATAATCTAAAATATATCCCTCTTGGTGAGGGGGGCGGAAAGCAAATCTGCTTCCCACTGCCACCACCCACATTAAAAAATGTCTTAGGTGATGCTGGGTAGCATGACCAACCATCCTAGATTTGCCTTGGACTGAAAGGTTTTCCTGGTTACAGAACTTCCCATACTAACAGAAAGTCCCAGGCAAAATGTGATGAGTTGGTAACCCTAATCCTGGGTTACTTTGTCCATACATCTTTATTATTTATAGTATCTTGCTAAAAATATTTATGTGCATATTTGTGTTCTTTATTACACTGTAGAATCCTCAAGTTCAGGGATCACACCATATTTATCTTTTACTCCCAATATCAGACAAAATACCGGGCACATGGATGTGGCATCATAGATGTTTATTGGTTGAATGGATCAGTCATTCACTAATGACTGTAAAACACCGACTCGATTAAAAATACAGCAGAAGAATCACTTGAACCCAGGAGGCGGAAGTTGCAGTGAGCCAAGATCGCGCCGCTGCACTCCAGCCCGGGTGACAGGATGAGACTCGGTCTCAGAAAAACCCACAAATTTTTAAGTAAATTTTTATGATCTATGTACTATTTTTATGATCTATGTACTATCTTGTGTTGTGTGCTTTATTCTTACTAGTGCTTTGTATACTTATCCACAGATCTATTTTGTTGGAATTATCCTAAAACATATGTATCTACATTAATTTTATGTGTATGTTATTGATTATCCTCAGTAACTCATCTTATACTTCAGGTTAAGGCTCTGTTTTAGCTTATTTCAGAAACTCACTGTACAATTTGACTTAATTTAAATAGTTGAAAAATTCGTCTTCTAGATCTAATTACTGCAATCATGACAGATTGCCCCTTTTCTCTCAGAATCTCCAGATTGCCTTGAGCTTTCCTCTTTCTTCATACTAATTGGTTAACATGTTTCATCAGTTCCCGTTTGCTTGATAGCTAGGTAACACATCCAGTCTGTCATATCCTAACCCACTGCTCTAATGAAGACCTATATCACCACTCACCTGAATTAGTGCAGATTGCCAACTCATCTTCCAGTCTCTAGTCTCTGGCTGCTCTGGGCCATCATAGGACTGTATCAGTTCTAAACATCAAAAGCTATCCCTTTGCTTAAAATTTAGGATAGCGCTTCAGGATAAAGTCTAAAATCATAGCATTATCTTAATAATAATGTGGCCCAAAATTATTTGGCCATTTATATTTCTTATCCCTCTTCCTTTAATGATATCAAAGTTACCAACACTCCCCACACTGTTCTTCTCTCCCCTCTTGGAATGCCTTTGTCTGTCTAGTGAGTTCTTTCTCATATCCTTGAGGCTTCTAAGGTCAGCTCCTATGTGAAATTTCCCAACTCCCCCAGGCAAAGTTAGGAATCCTGTGCTTTGTAATACCGTGGCACTGCATGTTGCCATATCTCATTACCCTGTAACTATTTTCATATCTTCCTAGTATTCATCAGTAAAGATGGACCAGCTAAATTTTTTAGAGGGTAATATACATTTTAGTTTTTAATGGATTTCTTGCAGAAATTTGCCTTCTATCAAATTTCCTGGTTAACCAAAAGACAAGTGAATGTAATTTAATCTATCAGTGGTAATTACAACTTGAAGTAATAGCAAATACATTTCAATAGTATATAAGGGGAGAAATATCCAAGAAATTGCCTTCCCAATGTTGGCAATACTAGCAGTATCATATGAAAGAATTTTAGCCAGAAATTTTAACCTTTAGTTCTTGCTTAATCCAATACAGCTTCCAGATGCTGTTGTTTTATTATGGAGTAGTTACTCTATTTCTTATCAAAATTTTTGGAGGTATAAATATTATTAATATTTATAATTTATAAATATTTTTCATGCCTTTATTTCTGTAGCATAACTATAGTCAATATTATAATCATATTTTAGGAAAATAAGTATGTTGGACTCAAATAATTTGCATAATTTACTTGAATTCACATAGCTAAAGGACAAGACCAATAATTTGAATTGTCTTTTTCTGGAACCATATTCTTATTTTGCCCTTTTTGGTGATGCTAAAAGGAGTGATAAAATCTCTCTCTGGACTCAAGATTATGTGTCAAGGGGACAAATGATATTATCAACCTGTATTATTTTGATGTTCTGTAATCGAGTAGATACAATGTTTCCATAAGTTTTTTTTTTATAAAAATAATATTTTGCATTTTGGTGCAATATATGTAACACAAAATTCATCATCTTCACCATTTTTAAGTGTACAATTCAGTGGCATTAAATGCATTCACATTGTTGTGTAAGTCATCACCATTATCCATCTCCAAAGCTTTTTCACCATTCCAAACTGTAAGTCTATATGCCAGTTCCTCATTCCTCTCCCCTGACCCCCAGCAGCCATCATTTTACTTTCTATGTTTATGAATTTGACTATTCTAGGCACCTCGTATAAGTGATACCACACAGCATTTGTCTTTTTCTGTCTGGCTTATTTCACTTGGTGTAATGTCTTCACAATTCACCTGTGTTATAGTGTATGTCAAAGTTTCCTTCTTTTTTATGGCTGACATACAACATACAACATTCCTTTGTATGTATGTACTGCATTTTGGTTATCCATTCAACCGCAACGGACATTTGGACGCTCTCCACTTTCTATTGTGAAGGTTACTGCTAGGAACGTTGGTGTACAAATATCTGTTTGAGTCTCTGCTCTTAATCTTTTGTGTATATACTCAGAAAAATTGCTGAATTATATTGTATCTTCTCATTTCAAATAGAAAAATAGAGTCAAGGATAAATAGCTTTAAAGCAAGCTTCTGTTTGTTTATTTTAATTGCAGAAATTCAACCTAAGAACATGTTCAGAATAGCTTATATAAAGTTTTTTACAAGTCCTCTACAAATCCCTAGTCCTGTGCTAGCTGAAACTTTAGCACCCAAACATCTAAAGACACCACTATAAAGAAGTAAATCATGTGAATCATCAGTAAATAAACCATTAAGTAAGCATTAAAAGTCATGTTTTGGAAGATTATTTAATGACAATTGGGAAATGTTTACTGTTTAATGCTCATCAAAATCAACATTAAAACCAGTCAAAACCAATCAAAGTCAAAGCCCCAAGTGTGACTCCAATTTTGTATATATGTGGACAGATGTTGATTTTGTATGAATATCAGCAAAGAAATACATATCTTTGCTTACATTTATATATAGGTTGGTTTTTAAATATATGAAAGAAAACACATCAAAATGTGCTACTCTAGCTGGAATATGAATGATTTTTTTTGATACTTTTTATATTTTTTCTTATTTTTTTTGTAGAGCCTATACATTATTTTTATAGTCCTAAAAAAGATTTATTAAATTATTCTCAAAGCTTAGTATGTTAGTGATGAGAGAACTAGATAGAATTGGGAGAAGACTTTCTAGGAACCTGCCAGGAAATTATTCCTGAGATCAAAGAAATGAATTAACTATGTTTTTCTTAGAAGAGGGTGAAATAGAATTAAAATATGGGGACCAACATGCTAAGGTTCTAGTATAGTATGTTAGCTACATATACATATCAAAGAGAGACGGAGACAAATTTCTTATTGCCCACCCCATACGTTATTTGTCAATTGTACTGTTCCCACATCCTTCCTAGCAACAGTAAGTAGAAGAGGGGTTCTCAGTTACAGGCGGTGAACTTGCCCTGTGTAATTAAATCAGTATTCCTGAACTATACAGTGGAAAGTTTAGATTACCTAGGTAGTACAGGCTGTTTCTGTAAGGCTTTGGTCCCCAAAACAATAGAAAAGTTACAAGAAATATGCATTTTTCTAGATTTGCCTATCTAGAACCTTATCTCACTGTGCCTAGCCCAGACTACATGATTTAGTAGATCATCTAGTTGGCCATACAGTCTCTTTAGGGACTTATACCCTGAGACATTCTGTTACTTTTATTTAAAAATCTATTTTGTGTGAAGTAAATTATACTTTAATGAAGTAGAATTATAACCAACAAAACAAACAGTATAAAATGTTCCCCATATCTGAAGTATTATTTGTTTCTAGATAATTATATGACATTATCTCGTTTGATTGATCTCCTAAGAAGATGTGGAAAACTTGAGGATGTTCCAAGATTTTTCTCAATGGCTGAGAAGTGTAACTCCAGAGTGAAATTGGAGCCAGGATTTCAGTATTGTAAAGGACTATATCTTTGGTAAATCTGTTGACGAATAAATGCTACCTAATTTTTTTTTCTCATTGTACATAAAGTAGAAAAATAAGCTTTTCTTTGTTGTTAAAAAAAAAAAAAAAAAGCACATTTCAAAATAGTTCAGTTTTATTTACCAGACCAGATTATAAACTAATATAAATCTTTTAGTCAGTGATTGAAATAAATAATTCTTTTAAACATTTAACAAGGTACACTGGAGAACCAAATGATGCCCTTCGACATTTTAATAAAGCTCGGAAAGATAGTGACTGGGGCCAAAATGCCCTTTACAATATGATAGAAATCTGTTTGAATCCGGATAATGAAACAATTGGTGGTGAAGTATTTGAAAATCTGGACGGAGACCTGGGGTGAGTTATTTGACACATTATCCTTTTTTAAAAAATACTTGTTGGAGATAATAAACAGGGATACTTTATCAAAGAACTAAATTCTAGGATAGCAATAATGAACGGCCAAATGAATAAATTAAATAAATAGGCATTTCATTACCTGTTTCTGAGAAGAGTTATTTTAGCAAATTAAATAATTATTCAATAGAATTGTTATTGCAGTAAAGTATTCTCTGAAATGGGCATGAAATGCTTTAAGATTTCCTAAAATATAGTAGACATGCTGTGAAGACACTCACCTAATTATACAATTTGACAACTCTGGTAAAAATTATCCACACATGCCGGGCGCAGTGGCTCACGCCTGTAATCCCAGCACTTTGGGAGGCCGAGGCGGGTGGATCACGAGGTCAAGAGATCGAGACCATCCTGGTCAACATGGTGAAACCCCGTCTCTACTAAAAGTACAAAAATTCAGCTGGGCATGGTGGTGTGTGCCTGTAATCCCAGCTACTCAGGAGGCTGAGGCAGGAGAATTGCCTGAACCCAGGAGGCAGAGGCTGCGGTGAGCCGAGATTGCACCATTGCACTTGAGCCTGGGTAACGAGAGCGAAATTCCATCTCAAAAAAAAAAAAAAAAAAAAAAATTATCCACACAATGATAGTAACTACTTAACAAATGGTAATTTTCCAGACCCTCTCCTCTGTACTTCCCAGGCACTATCTTATTTGTTTTCTACAACAATGTTGCCAAGTAAGCTGAGTCAACTTGTTTAATGTGATAGTAATGATGGAGTCAAGATTTAGACTGAGTCCTGACTACTGTTAAGCAGTGTGGTATACTGCTAGTAAACGGTTGTATTTCAACCTGCATTAGTAGCCTGTCTTCTCTTCATATGCAGGCAAGGAATGTGGGGGATGTGTTAGGACGTAAAGGGAATGTAAGAGGTAGTTCCTGCCTTCAAGAGCCTGTAATTTACTTAAGAGGCCATGCAATACCTGAAACCTTTGCATCTGCAACTAAACAGAAATGGATTTAAATGGATATTAACTATTGTTGGAGTTCATAGGAATAATAGCAGTCCAGAGTATTCGGGGGAAGATGCATGGAGGAGCAGGAGAAAATTAGCACCAGATTGCCGAGAGGTTTCAATGACAGATTTTAACGGCTGGATTACAGAAACCACTGAAAGTTTTAGAGCAAGAAAGTGGCATGTTTATGGTTGTTTTACAAAGGTTGAGATAACATTACTGTTATGGAACTATAAGCTATCCAAGTAGAAATCTTCTGCAGGCAATTCAAAATGCAAAACCAAAACTCAGAAGAGAGGTCACACCTAGGGATAGAGATCTGGGAGACATCTGCAGAGTGCATAGTTGGAATTCCATAAATGGCCTCTTTGAGAGTAGAGTATAGTAACACAAGTCCGAGAACTAAATTTTAAGCTTGCTAACATTTAAGGGGCCTGGAAGGAGGAAGGAAGGTCACAAAAGGGCAATCAGTATGGTAGCAAGAGAACTAAAGCCATGTAGTGTTACAGAAGCCAAGGGAGAAGAACTTTGAAAATGGTAGTCAACAGTGTGACGTGTTTCAGGCAAGATAAGCTTAAGGCCTGAGCAGAAGACCAGTGGCTTTAGTGATTGGACTTTGAGTGTTTCATTTCCTTTTATTAATTGATTTATATATATTTATGTGTGTGTGTCTGTGGTATAAAACAAGAAAGTTGCTATTAAATATTAAAATGGCACTTGGAATTACTTTTTGACACATATATAATTTCTGAGATTCTAATAGACAACATGGTGAGGAGAACAGAGTAGATTTTATATGTCTGATAAACTTAGATTCAGGTCCTAGGTGTACCATTTATTAGTGGTATGACCTTTAGCAAGTTACTTTACCTATTTGAGCCTTAGTTTTCCTGTATCTAAAATGGATTAAACATAGATAGAATGAAATAATACGGTAATTGCCACTTTTTCCTCCCCCTTTTCTTTCCTTTCCCTTTTTAAATAGATACATGTTAATTTTGTGATTCTACTTGTATTCTAGTTTTATATTTGCTGGAATGCACACATTTACGACATGTAGGTATTGTCAAATTTTTGTCTTCATTCTAGAGGAAATTAATGCTTACTGGTGTTTTACTGAGTCTGTATTAATTTTGTTTAAAATGCATTGTAACTGTGCTTCACTTTGTATTAGAAGAGAATGAGTGACATTCTTCACAAAAGATTACTTTTAAATGAGTGACAAAAAGAGCACAGAGAGTGCCCAGATTCTAATTTCAATGAATTGTATCATAAGTAAGAGACATAAGTGATTTATTTTTAATTATATACAGTAATTCAACTGAGAGGCAAGAATCTGTCCAGTTGGCAGTGAGAACAGCAGAAAAACTTCTTAAGGAACTAAAACCTCAGACTGTTCAGGGTCAAGTACAGCTTCGCGTAATGGAAAACTATTGCTTAATGGCTACCAAACAGAAATCTAATGTTGAACAAGCATTAAATACCTTCACTGAAATAGCAGCATCTGAGGTTAGTGGGTTTTCCATTTCAGCTTCATATGTTATCTTTCGTTGGTAGCATAGAAACATGTACTTTGATTAGTTATGTATTTTTAGGAGATTTACTCAATTACTTTTATTAAAAATTAGGTATGTAGTTTAGCATACACAATGTCTCCTTCTTTGCAGAAGAGACAGTGTTACTGTTTTGATATGTTATTAATATATTTCTC